TGCCCTGAAAATGGGGGACAGCACCAGGCGTGGGGGTGGTAGAGCTTGTATAGTGCACCAAGGGCTGGCTGATACCATCAAGGAGGGGCATTGTGCTAATGTGGATCAGGGTGGAGAACTGTGTCCTTGCAGAAGCAAAAGGGGCTTCTGTTTAAGTCAGGAGGTTTCTCGTAAAGGGAAGGGGGAGGGGCGGGAAGGGGGTGGGCGGTGCCAGTTTGTACTTGGGCTTATCTAAAGTGGCACTGGTTATGTTGCAGATCTATTAATTTCATCACTCCCAAAGGAAACCTTCCCTCAGCCCCTGACAGCCACAAATCTACTTTCTGTCTCTATGGATTTGCCTATTCTGGAGATTCTTACAAATAGAATCATATAACATGTGGTGTTAGGTGTCTGGCTTCTTTGAGATATTTTCAAGGTTCATCCCCATTGTAGCATGGGTCAGAATTCCTTTTTGTGAATGAGTTCTCCTCCCTCGTATGGAAGGACCACATGTTGAATTCGGATTCATCAGTCAGTGGACATTTAGATTGTTCCCACTTTTGGAAACACTTGGTGTGGTCAGCATTTTAAAATTGTAGCCATGGAATAGCTGGATAGTGGTATGTAGTCATGGTTTTTGTTCTGTGTGTGTGGCTGGCCAGTACAGGGATTCCTAGTCTTAGTTTTAATTTGCTTCTCCCTAATGTCTAACGATGTTGAGTATCTTCTTTAGTGGGATGTCTGTGTCTTTTGCCCATTTTTAAATTGGCTTGTATGTTTTCTTATTGTGGAGTCTTGAGAGTTATTCATATATTCTAGGATACAAGTTCCTTGTTGGATACGTAGTTTTCAAATATTTTCTCCCAGTCTGTAGCTTATCTTTTCATCCTCTTAACAGTGTCTTTTTCAGAACGAAAATTTTAAGTTTTGTTGAAGTCCTTTTTATCAACTTTTTCTTCCATGGATTCAGCTGTTGGTGTCTTGTCTGAGAATTCTCTGCCTAACAGCCAGATCATGACAGCTTTCTCCTATGACTTCTAGAAATTCTGATTGTTTTCTATTTTCCATTTAGATCTATGATCAATCCATTTTGAGTTAATTTTTGCATGAAGTTTAGGTTTAGGTTCTTCTTCTTCTTTTTTTTTTTTTTTAATATGACCGGTAGGGGGATCCAAACCTGTGGCGTTGGTGTTGCCAGCACCACACTCTCCCAAGTGAGCCCCGGGCTGGCCCCTCCAGCACCATTTTTTAAGTGATTCTGTTGCATAGATTTATGGCCTCTCCTTTCTCCATTGACTTGGTTTTACACTTTTGGAGAAAGATCCTTTCTCCAACTGAATTGTTTTTGTACTTTTGTAAAAGTTAATTTGCCATATTTTGTGTGATGTATTATGTTTCATTGATCTGTGTATTTATTTCTTTATCAACACCACTGTTTTATTATGCTTTATAGTAAGTATTAACTCAGGTGGTGTAATTCCTTAGACTTTATTCTTATTTTTCAAAATTGTTTCAGCTAGTTTTGTTCTTTTGCAGTATATATAAATTTTAGAATCAGCTTGTATATATCTACAAAATGTCCTGCTGGGATTTAGACTGGAATTGCTTTAAATGTGTAGAGGGAGACTCTCATCTGTGTTGAGTCTTCCGGTCTGTGAATGTGGTATGTCTCCATTGAGGTCTTTGATTTCTTTCATCATTGGCATTTTGTCGTATTCAACGTACATATCCTGTATGCATTCTGGACGGGTTACGCCTCAGTGTTTTCTTTTTTGAGCTGTTATTTAGAGGTGTTTTTATTTATTTATTTATTTTAATGTGAAAATAACTCTTAAAAAGAAATTAGAAAAATCTAAGCAGAAATTTGGTGAAGGACATGAGCAGATAAGTCACACACCCCAAAGAAACACTTGTGGCTAACAAGTACATTCTAAGATCTTGCTGGTGAGGTGGTGGGGTGGCCCTGCCCTCAGTTCCTGTCTCAGGACCCCAGGCATCTGGAAGAGGGGTTATTTTTTCTATTTTAATTTCCAATTGTATAATTCTAGTTTTTAGAAACACAGTTGGTTTGTGTGCGTTGTTTTTACATGCTGTATCCTGGATAAAGTCACTTGGTCTAGGAGGTTGCTTTTGTTTGTTTTTGTAGATTTGGGGGGATATTATGTGCACAGAGGAATGTCATCTGTGGGTAGGACAGCCTGTTCTCCAGTCTTCTTGCCTCGCTCTGTTGCTGAGACCTCCGTGTGAGACCAACTGGTGCGGGGCAGGTGGGGGCACTCTTGCCTTTTTCCTCGTCTTGGGAAAAACGTGTCCTCTTCCACCATTAAGTATGATGTTGCCTGTACATTTTTTTGTTGATGTCACTTATCAGGTTGAGCAGGTTCCCTTCTGCTAGTTTGCAGGGTTTCTATCATGGCTGGATGTTTTGTCAAACACTTGTTCTGCCTCGAGTGTTCCGTTCGTATTGTTTTCCTTCTGTACTGTTAATATGGCAGCTTACATTGAATAATCTCCAAATGGTGAACCAGGCTCGCATTCCTGGAATAAACCCCGCTTGGTCGTGGTGTACTGTTCTTTTTATATATTGTGGGACTTGCTTTAGTAATATTTTTGTTGAGCACTTTGCATCTATATTCATGAGGGATATTGGTCTATAGTTGTCTTTTTGTATTGTCTTTATTTGGTTTTGGTATCAGGATGCTACAGATAGAAAACTGGTACCAAGAGTGGGGTACTTGCTATAACCAATACCTGAAAATGTGGAAGTAGCTTTGGAACTGGGTAATGGGTATAGGCTGGGAGAATTTGGAGGAAGAGGCCACAAAAAACCTAGCCTGGCATAAAGAGTGTTAAGGGTGGTTCTGATGAGGGCTCAGAAGAGAAGAATGGGATCAAAAGTCTGAAATTTCTTAGAGCTCACACCTGCAACTCTAGGCTGAGCCTGTGTTTATAAACCACTTTATGGGCTGCTTTCCCAAGCGCCCCCTCTGGTTCTGGTTGCCGGGACTGCCCTGTGCTCCTTCAGCCCGACATTTAGGGCTCTGGTCACTTGCTTGTCATGCCCTTCCTAGACTGGGCCACATCTGGGGGCCACGTGGCAGAAGAACAGAGGGAGAAAAGTAATGGGCGTGCTCTGAACAGCAAGGAAGTTTCCTGTAGCCACCACTCCCATTGCCACCAGGGTTGCCTGGGGGACAGAAGAGCAGAGAGAAGGGAACACACAGGGCACTAACACACTCTCTGAGCCACAGGAGTCTCCTTTCCTGTCCTTGGCTGCTCCTGAGGCTGCTCTTTCTGGGCCCCATGTTCACTTCCTGGCCATGGTCCTGAGACGGGGTCCTGCTGTCGCCCCTGGCACACCATTTCACTACCCTTTCCAGAGTTCTCAGTGGCTGCTCTGGGCTGTGTGACAAGTTTTGTAGCAGTCTTGTTGGGGGGACAGGGGGACAGGGCCCTGCGCCCACTCCACCTTGACCATGCACCAGCACCTCTCCCTATGGCGTCAGGTTTCCCTGTCCTTGCCAGCTGATGTGTCTGGATGTGTGTGGTTCCTTTTCTTGTCCAGACTGCAGCGCGCTTCTCGTGAGGATTGTCTTTCTGTAACTCAGCAGTTCAGCCGTTTTCTCTTTACTCCAGCCCCTGTAGATGGGGGTTGAGGGGTCCTGCCTCTTCATTCACTGGCTCGTTTCTTTCTCTGTGCGATGCTCAGTCTGCCCCATCCCATCTTCTGTCCCTTTCTTCACACCAGCCGTAGCTGCCACCATTTGTCACGTGTGGAACTTCTCATCTCAGCCACTCTGTTACTATCCACAGCTGATACTTGGCTCCCTTTCTACATGTAGATTCCCCTCTCCCTGCTCTTGCTCATGGCACGCCATTCCAGCTCGCAGTGCCGCTGTGAGCTTCCTGATGACTTTGCAGGAGACGGGCCTCCATCCTTCACAGCACGTTGCCTGGTTTCCTGCAGCTTCTCAAGAGCATGCTTGCATCTGTTCAGTTTGTTGGCTCCTTTCTGTCAAGAAGTTTCCTGTGGGCTCCAGATTCTTAGTTCAGGCTCATTCCGTGCAGACAGCTCTGCTGCCGTTCCTTTTTCCTGTTTGGCTCACATCTGGTGGTTTCATCATTTAACTCCAGCGGCTGCAGGGATCCCGGTCCCTCTGGGTGGAGCAGCCCATGCTAGTGGACCCTTGGTTGCATGTGGCTTCTGTGGGCCTTTTGTCCTCTGCAGTGGCTCCTCCAAGCCTGTGTTCCCTGTTTTCCCGACTCTCCATCCTTGCTCAGGGTCCTGCCCCAGCAGGTGGACCTGGGCAGCCTGTGCTGCCTGCTGGTTCTGGCCTGGAGTCTTTCACCTTCTTACTCAAGTCTCATCCATGTCTTTTTTCTCTAGTGTGTTGATTGCTGCTGTTGGTGGGGCCAAGGGTAGTTTAGTAGGCGATCCCTGGGCAGCCAAGTGTGCAAGTCCAGCCTGTTGGACAGCTGACCCTGCCAGAGCTCCACTCTCCCCACTCCCTACCCTGGGACCCCCGGAGGTAAGCAGGGCAGGCCAGGCAAGCTCCCAGTACAGCCAGGTCAAAGCCTGTGAGGGTCCAGCTGGGGCCACTCCTTTGTGCCCCCGGTCCCATCCTCACCTGCCTGGGCCCTGCAGAGCTCTGCCCAGCTCCCCCTTCTCTCCCCAACCCCACCCAGCAGCCAGAGAACTCCCTCAAGGATGGGCTGATGCCACTCTGGGCTCCCATGACACTGGGAGCTGGACAGAGCCTTTCCACCCCAGACCTAACACCAGCAGGCCCTGGACATCTGCCCACCCACTGCAGACGTGCTCAGGCGTCTCCTCAGAGGTCATGGAGGGTGAACAGGGCAGTGTGGCATCATAGTTGGGGACACAGACTTGTACCAGCGCTTCCGTCTCAGGCTCCTAGCACCTGTCAGGTGGTGACCACAAGGTTGATACCACAAGGCCATCACAGCCAGCTGTGCCTTGTCACCCCCTCCCTGCAGACAGAGACTGGATGACCATGGGCTGTTGCCAGCTGTTTATTCAGGGCCCTGAACAGGTGGTGAGTGGACATGTGGCACACTCGGGCCCATGGCAGGATGACCTGCACCTCCCAAGCGCCACTGGTGCACAAACCAAGTTACTAAAGGTGGGAACCACCCAGGCTGCCACCTGGGTACCGCAGGACCAACAAAAGGTGCATATGGTGCTGACCATCTCATGTGGCCCAGCCTGTGGCCAGCTTGAGGCTGTGAGCCTCCAGCCTGGGGACAGGCAAGAAGCAGGAACCTCCAGTGTCCTATGCACCCCAAGCCGGCCAGGCCGCCCACGTAGGGTCTGTGGTGCACTGGCCACCCTAGTGCTGAGTGTCACAGCTGTGTGAGCAGGTGTGTGTGTGCGAGCGTGTTGGGGTCAGTCCATCCCCTTCCTAAGGCGTTACTGCTGCGAGTGCCTCTTCTCCCCACACAAGAAAGAGCCACATGACCTCAGGGGCATCCTCAGTGGGCCCTAGTATCTCGAGTCCACCCAGTGCCCCTCAGCGCCTCTGGCTGGCAAACCAAGAAAAGGGGCGGGGGCGTAGGCGCGGGGCCTGCAGGATGCGCACAGTGCGCGGTGAGCGCCAGGCCTTGATGGTGGCATCGTCGCTGGCTGTCAGCAGGAGCTCCTGCTCCTGAGGGCTGAAGGCTACCGAGTTGACCACATCCTCGTGTCGCAACTTGGCCAGGCAGATGTTGTAGTGGCGGTCCCAGATGTAGCCATGCCGGTCCTCGGCCCCACTGCAGGACAGCACCTGGTATGAGGCCATTGCCACCTGCTGCAGCCCCAGGCCCCACCCCACCCAGAGCCCGCACCTGGCCACAAAATCCCTGCTGACGTCGAGGAAGATGAAGAAGCACTCATCGTTGGGCGTGTAGGCGCGGTGTGCTCGCAGGGCCCGCTTCACCTCCCGCATGGTCTTGAGGTCGAACACGAGCAGGTCGATCTCCTCCGCGATGGGTGGCGGCTGCATGGGGTCAGCCACCACCGAGCCACTGGGCCAGGCACGGCTGTTCACGTACAGGTACCTGGCAAGGGGCATGCCACTGGGTACATGGCCGCCTGAGCGTGCCCCCTCCCAGGACACTGCCAGTAGCCTACCTGTTGTCAGGCGATAGGCCCATGCCAATGATGTGTCCATGCACGTCAATGACATGGTCCAACGCATCAAAGAAGGCGTCAGAACCTCGGCCCTCACCCAGCACAGGCCCTGCCGTGGTCATCTGGTGCGGCAGGATCTGCTTGATGCCTGCAGGGAGGGCCAGGGTTAGGGCCCCCACTCAGAGCCCTGAGCCTGAGGGATGTCACCTCCAGGCTCCCCCAACCCCAAGAGCACCTCCACGCCTGAGAGCTCCCAAGGTCCGTGAGGCACCAGATCTGAGCCAGCGAGGTCTACCCGCTGCTCACTGGCCAGTGGCCCACCCTGTGTGTTTTTACACTCTTCTGTCAGCCCCCATGCAACCAAGAGCACCTCCAAGAACAGATGGACAATTCAAATTTTGCCTGTGGAGGGCCAGCCCGTGGCTCACTTGGGAGAATGTGGTGCTGATAACACCAAGGCCACGGGTTCAGATCCCTATATAAGGATGGATGGCCAGTTCACTCACTTGGGAGAGCGTGGTGCTGACAACACCAAGTCAAGGGTTAAGATCCCCTTACCAGTCATCTTTTTAAAAAAATAATAATTTTGCCTGTGGACTTGCTTGCTGTCCAGCCCCTGGGATCCCTGCCCAGGCCTCCCCCCAAGGGTTCCTGGGACTGAGGAGGGGCCCCAGCAGCACCAGTAGTAGGTGTTGCCAGTCCCCTCCCACCGGCCAGGCCCTGCCCTGCCCGTTACCAATCTGGTGTGGCGAGTAGGTGAGGCAGCCGGTGGTAAAGATGAGGTACTTGTTCCTGGCACTGGCAGCACTGCGCTCCGGGGGCTTGGTGTGGCCTTGGGCCAGCAGCTCAGCCACCCGGGTCTCCAGCGCACGCTCAGACAGCTGGGGCTGTGCCCGCCCGTCCAGCACACTGTCCAGCAAGCGCCGCAGGCCCTCCTTTGTGCGGGCAGAGGCTGGCTCCACCTCATCACTACTGTCACCGCCCAGGTCAAAGACACGGCAGGGAGACATGGCTGAGTCACCAGCATCCAGCAGGAGGTCAGGGCTGTCGAAGCGGCTGCAGTCAGCCACCATCACCGTGCGGATGGTGCTGGCGTTGAGGTTCTGGATCTTGAAGAGCCGCTTAACCACGTTAACGTTCTCAGACTCCACGTCCTGTGGGCGAGGCATGAGCCACTGGACACCAGGCCCAAGGAGGGGCAGCCAGCGGCCCCTGTGAGCCCCGCTCCACCCCTGCCCGCACCTGGAAGGCGTTGTTGAGCCACAGCACCGAGCAGGAGGTGATATCTCCGATGCGATGCAGGTTCCCCGAGATGAGACTGGTCTCTGTGAGCCAGCAGCCGAACACGTCGTAGGGCTTGTTGCGCACACGGGACAGCAGAGCGAAGGTGTCTGGGGGGAGGCCAGGACTGGGCAGGCTGCTGGCCGGGGGCTGGGGAGACGGCCCACCCGAGACCCATGCTCACCTAGGCTGATGACGGCAATCTCGCCTGATGAGGAGTTGTGTGGCCCTAGGAACACCCCTGAGGCCAACAGCAGCGAGTCATCCTGGTTGAACTGGGAGAACTGGGTGTAGCTCCAGTTGTAGGGCCGCATGTCCGCGCTGTGCAGCAGCGAGATGGTCAGATCGTTGTTCCAGATCTGCACGCAGGGCAGCAGGTACACCGTGCAGCCATCAGGCTCGGCTCTGCCAGCTCAGCCCAGCCCACCCAGGACACCCCAGGACCCAGGCTGGAAATCCTGGCCCCTTTCCTGGCTGTCTACATTGAGCATGTGCCCAGAAACTGCCCTGCGTCAGGGACTCTTTCCAGTTATCTGTCACCCACCCCACCCCTACACCAGGACGCTGGTGCTCAGGGGCTGCTCTGGAACAAAAGGCTTCATGTAGGACCCTCTCCTCTCCTCTTCGCTGGTGGTTAGGGCTGCCCTCCAGATCTCCCAGGTCTGTGGTCCAGGCCAGGCTTCCAGGTCCAGTGAGGTGCCTCTTCTGACCTGGCCCTCTCCACTAGATGCAAGGACACTGGGCCTCTCCCACCTCTGGTCTGACCCTCTCTTCCCACCGCTCGGGCTGTGGTGGGGTGGGGTGGGGCATGCCGGACCCCTCCGCATCCTCACCTTCACAGTGCAGTCCTTGGAGCAGGAAGCAAACTGGTAGCCTGAGTGGGAGAAGCTGAGGTGCAGGACCTGGTCGGTGTGCTCCCGCAATGTCTGCACCTCCACGCAGGGCACCATGTCATAGAGCCGTCGGAACTCCTCGTACCAGGACGTGGCCACTGCGGGCAGGCAGCATCACCGCTGGGCCCCAGCCTCCCTTCCCACAGTCAAGGCCAGCACTGACAGCATGACCACTAGGAGCTGGGGCTGCAGCCCGCCCATGGCTACAACCTGCTTGCCATGGCTTAGGCCTCAGCCAAGGGCTGAGCCTCCCAATCCCCAAGTGACCAGGTCCACCCTTTGGCCTTCCCGCTAGGCCCTGCGCTGAAGCGTAGCCCGTGCTGTGTCCCAACAGTCCTCAGTGAGTGTGAGGGAGGGTACTCAGGGCCACAAGGCAGGCTCCCAGCTGGGCCAGCACCTAAGCGGAGCTGGGCAGCAGGGGCCTGGTGCCGTGGCTCAGAACATGACACGGGGATAGCCCGGGCAGGCTTCGGTCCACGCACAGGAACTGACCTGGGTGTCGGGGCACATCACGGGCCACCTGGTAGTAGCGGTAGAATTGCTCCCTCCATAGGAACTCGTCCCGGGACACAGCCTGCCACTGTCTGCACACCAGCCCAGCAGCCAGCACGTCAGCAGGGCCCAGGCTCAGGAAGATCTGGTAGACAAGGCTGTCGGGGAGCAGGGGTGTGCCCCCATCGTCCATTGTGGCATTCTGCCCAGGCGGCCCTAAAACCCACCGACAGCTGCCCTGAGCCCAGGCCTGACCAGGGAGGATGAGTGCCCCTGGCCCCCAGCCCAGAGGAGAGGCGCACGGGGCCTGGGGCTTGAGCCATGGTGGCCCCGGCATTCCTCCAGCCTCACCAACCGCCCCTGCTGGGCATTCCACTGGACTGAGCGTGTGCGGAGGGCAGGGCTGGCACTGCCACAGACCAGGGATCCAGCAGCTTCAGGAAGAGCCTCAGACTGCCATGCTCCAGCAACCCCATGTGCCTGAGTGCCCCTGCAAGCCCCAGGGACTGGCTAGGGTGGGCAGCAGGCACTGCTCAGTACCTCTGGGCCTGGTCTGGACTGAGGTGGAGTTGGGGACAGCCCCTCTGGAACCTAGACCCACCCTCTCCCCTAAAGGGCCTGGGCCACGCCCCACCCCGGTCCAGGGAGACATCTGGGTGCCGGGGCTGGTGAGTCAGGTGTGAGCTGCCCCGTCTCTGACCTTGCCACCCCAAGGCTTCCAAGCTGTCGACACCGGACAGTTCCTTCCGGGAGGAGGCTCGGGGCGGCAGGCCCTTGCCTCTGCCCTGTGGCCCTAGGGAAGCCCTGCCGGGCGGGCAGCCGGCGAGCAAGGCCACCGTCCAGCAGACGGCCTTATGGGGATGGGGCCGCCCGGACCTGGCCAGCCGGACGGGCTCGGGGGCTCATTCATTCGCCCAGTGGTGCGGGCGGGCCCGGACCGGGCGGTTGAGGCCAGACACGGTGGGACAGGGCGGGACAAGGCGGGACACGGCCTGACAGGACGGGACAAGGCGGGACAGTGCAGCACCGGGCCGGTGACGGCGGCGAGGCCCGAACGCCGCTGGCCGCGCGCACTCACCGCGGCCT